TACTACAATATCTGTCGAACGCGCTTTCTGGAGAAGAACTGTTAACTGATGGTAGAACTCATCCTTGATTGCATCCGGGCTGCAATCTGTCGGGGCATAGGCGGAGATGACGAAAAGACACCGTTTCTCACGCCGATTTCTTCTCACTTTGATGGAACTTTCTAATCTAACAGCACATAACCGACTGTTAATGGGGATCCAATCGATTAGTGCTGCCTCAGCTCTAGCGCTTAGTGCGACACCAACGCCACAGGGTCCCCGGATAAGCGCACGTGGAACAAGCTTTTCGAGGCGACAGATGGAGAGCGGATTTGTAGTACTTCACTAGAGTCTTGAATACGGGTCTCGGATAGACAACAAACGTCAACATTAAGACCTTCCAAAGACATAGCCAGCCCTATCTGTTGTCTGATCTGCATTAGTGTGCGAACGTTGAAGGAAGCCAGCTTGAACGGCGTACGTGGTTTCAGAAAGACTGCCTCAGTATTCATAATCGGTGGAAGCATTCACTTTCAACCAGACAGTGACTGGAGATCGCTTAGATAGGACAGATTTTCCACCAAGAGCGAGCTGCTGCATAAGTTGAAGAGTAAGGTTACACAAATTGGGGATAAAAGGGGGTGAATTAGCGATATGGTAAGTAATAATAATAATAATAATAATAAAGGTAATAATAATAATAATGTTAATTGTTTTGCTTTTAGTATGACCAGGGATATCGTCAATAAAGTTCATAATTTCATTCATTTGTTTGTGTGTGGGCTGTGATACTGCCCGGGTGCCCAAACCGAAGCAGGTGGTTTTCTTAGGGGACCACACCCCGAGCCTTTGACCTAAAGGTCTGATCCACAAGGCAGTGGAGCATCGTGAGGAGATGCAGTCCCATGGTTGCCGTTGACCAACAGCAGGTTCTTCCGCCATTCGTTCCATCAGGATACTGGAGCCCATGTGCACCATTGGTTTGGAATCAGGGTTTTCCAACTCCCCTAGATGGACCCTCCGTGTCCACCGATCCGGTTATAGCGCCGAACATTCGCTTTTCGTCCTCTCACTTTCGTAAACAACACCCCCGCCACGAGAAGGCAGTGAGTAGGACTTCCCTGGCAGAGGCTATATATTCGCTGGCCATGTGAGAGCATTTCGAGAGGGAGAGTGGACTCTCCCCACTCTCGGCCGTACCAGGGCATTTGGGGGCCCGTACCAGGCTGAATACAGCAAGCACAAGTTACCTGAGATTGACGGATACTTAAGTCTTCACTTGTAGAAAAGAGAGTACTGTGAAAGAAACAGGATAAAACCCACACATCTCTATTCTTAACAGTGAAGGGACTTCATATGCTTGAGTTAAACTAAAGTGAAATGATTCAAAAACTAGTCAGAGCATCGCAGATGCATTTGTCTCATTTCCTCGAAAATATTGAGTATTTACTACGTTATGTTATATTTGATTTATTTATTTGAACACATAAATTTTGGAACAAGCGACACCAAATATATATGGGCCACAAAAAACAATAAGAATAAGATAAGAAAAAGGTAAGGTGCGTATGAGGAAAAAAACAATAACAACCACAGATTAGTGCATGTTTGTGTAATAATAAGAATAATAATGGAGGAGACGGGAAGATACAACCAGAAGGATTCTTTCAGTTAAGGAAGTTACAACCACTTTTCATGAAGGAAGTAAAAGGTTGCAGCAGGATCGCTTCTATTCTGAGCCACATCTGATAACTTCTCTAGCCACTGAGTTGCACCATCTCTCGGACCCCAACCAGGGAGTCGGAAAGGACCAACAGAAGCCAGTCCTTTGCAGCTTTCTTCTACAACACGACACCATGTCATACACTGACCTCCTCTCCGCTTTTTCCAACCAGTCCCAGGGTCGGCAAATTATGTACGACGAGGAATTCTCTGGGACGACATTCGTAGAGCATGTCCAAGCCACCGAAGTCGATGTTTCAAGATGGTGACACCAATTGGATTGTCGTCTCTGCGCCCGAACACACGATGCTGAACCTCTGCATTACTAACATGGTGTTGTCACTGAATGTCAGCAATCCTTCGAAGACAACAATGGTCAAACATCGAGAGACGTCTAACATCCTCAACTCGGAGAGGCTAGGTTTCACAAGCATAGGGCAAAACTGCTCTCACCGACGCGTTGTAGATCCGACCTTTTACAGCCAGACTAACATCATGAAGGCGCCAAAGATGGCCCAGATTGGCATAAGCCGCTCTGGCTTTCATTAAACGTGCATCAATCTCATCATTCACGTCACCACCAGAAGCACTTATGCAGCTACCTAGATACACGAACTTCTCGACTACTTCAATCTGCTCACTACCCAGGGTGAGCACAGAATCAGGGTCCTGTCAGTCTTGTGGAAGTACTTTGCACTTGGAGAGTGCAAAGCACATACCATACCTATGAACACTGTTTGCCAACTGCATAAGTGCGGATTGCATGGTCATTACTTACATCCATTAGAGCTGTTTCCAGAATGTTATTGATGGCATAGTTGAAGAGGAATGGTGTGATTGGGCAACCCTGCCTAACCCCGCTGCTTGAATGGAAGAATGGAGAAAGATGGTATGTTCTCACTCTGCCTGAGGTGTTTGTATATAGGGCCTTTAGGATGTTAATGAACTTCTCAGGCACACCCTTCTTCAATAGACAATCCCAGAGTACAGTCCTGTTGTACAGCCCTGATGTCAAGAAACATTACGATTGTTGACCTGTGATATGTATGATGGTGTTCTAACATTTGGCGGAGGGTGAAGATATGATCAATACATCCTCAACCAGAACAAAAACCAGCCTGCTCCTCGCGAGTCAATCTTTCTTGGGTTTTGTAGAACCCGCGAAATATGACGGAAACCAATAGTTTGGACGCAATCGGAACTAGACGTTTCCTCAGATAGTTGTTACAGTAACGACGTGAACCCTTTTCAAAGATAAGGACAACCATCGACTCATTCCATGACGTGAACACTCTAGCTCCCATACCTTTGTAAGCAACGCGGTCAATTCCTTAGCCAGAAAGTCACCACCATCTTTAAAAAGAGCCGGAGGTAAGTAATCTGGGACCGGTGATTTGTAGCGCTTCAAGAGTTGGAGTTCCTTGTGGACTTCTGCCTTATTTGGTGGAGCGGTCGTCACCGGCCAGGACAGTCTGATCGATGTTGTCAGAATAGCAGGCCAGTTGAACTGCCCTTCAAAGGATTTTGCCCATCGTCCAAGACGTCGACAGATGTTAGTGATTAGCATTCCGTTATTTTCACAGATTGTTTCACTCACACCAGACTTCTTGCTGCCAGTGGCTCGGATGAGTTGGAAGAGCTTCGGGCAGTTACCAGATGCAGCTGCTGCTTCCAGCTCATTATCACGCTCCAACCACCAGGCTTCTCGATCTTTAAGAAAGCTTTGCTCAATTTCATTGCGTAACAGCTTTCGTTTGTGATCAAATTCACGGTCACTCGGAGTGGATCGACGGGCTTCGGTAAGTTGTAAGGAGCCTGAAGAAACCCGGTGCTTATAAGCGAGACGTTTCGCGAAGCTGCAAGCGGCTTTACCTGCCATTTTCATGGCTTCATGCAGTTTCAACCAATGCTCATCTATACTTTTCGGTGGTATGGTAGCTAGCCTAGAAGCTAGCTCGGTTCACTGCTTACTTGCAACAGAAGTTGCAATCAATTTACTGACATCAATCCGTTTGTGACGATCAATTCGTTGGCTACTGAAAAGTGCGGTAAGATTGGCGCAGACCAGAGCATGATCAAAGCCCAGAGAGGTACTCCAAAAGAAGCGGCAGTCTTGGTAGCCGGTGACCAATAATCGGTTTATACGCTATTTGTTCCATCAGGATCCTGGAGCCCATGTGCACCACTGGTTTGGAATCAGGGTTTACCAACTAGACTATGTAAATCTCTCGTACCCACTTATTTGGTTAAAACTCAAAACATTCACCTTTCGTCCTCTCAATTTCGTAAACAACACCTCCGCGGCGATGAGGCGGTGAGTAGGACTTCCCTGGTAGTGGTTGTTTGCGTTTGGCCATGTGATAACATTCGGAGAGGGAGAGCTATTCTCCTACCCTCGTCCGTACCAGGGCATTTGGGGGAATATGTAAACAATTAATCCAGTTATTTATACAGTAAGAATATGAACAGTAATAATCGGTAAATTAGTTCAAAATTTTCTAACTTTAGTAACATTCATCATTTTATAACAAATTCATTCTGTATTACTTTTTGACTATGAATTCTCTTTGGGAATAGAAAACTAATACATAGTGCACATTCATTGTCGTATATGTCTTCGAGGCATCGCTCTTGTATTGTAGAATAATAGAGCGAGTGATGCTAACGTTATCTGTAGGACACCAGGCTAAGATGCTCAATCTGTTGATAGATAAGGTTGGGAATCTTCATTGGCTGAAGTGATTGGGATATGTGTTTAGTGTGCCCGACCATCACCTAATGTTGATTGCGGTAAGTGTAGGTTAGACGAAAACTAGGGGCGGCCAAACCGGGATGTGACACTAGTCTTTAAAGTCCTTAACTTTTGAACTGAGGCGTGTTAGTAGGCGCAGACTACCTGGCTGAAGTCCACGCGATAATCGTAATTAGTGTTCGAAAACGTCGGATAACTAGATCGGAGTCGGTGACATTGGTGTAGGTGCAGTTGCTCTTTACATATCCGTTACTCGAGAGCTTCAAAATTAGTTCCTACTTTTTCCCCGAATTCATCCATTCTTTTCAAAATTTACCCATTAATATTGAGTTTATCGCACTATCATTGATATTATCATTATTCTCATTTCTTTTTATTCGTGTTATCAATTGCATACTAAATATTACTGTGTTGGTTTAATTAAACATTAGGATATTCGGGTACCGAGCTTCTGATTGAAACTGTACAAAAATATCTATTTTCTTACAGTAAAATTTTCAGGTATATATTCTCTACATATTTCCCATTATTTGTTTCTCTCATTTAGATCTTAATTCCATGAATATGGATGTTATTCCTTGTCAAATAACACTTGCATGTACAGATCAAAATGCTAGAGATCTTTTGGTATCTACATTAACTGACCTTATTCAATATCAGACCCAGAATGAACAGTCACCAAATATTGATCAATGCCATATAAAAAATGAGAGTATTTCTTTGGATTTCTTGGGTCAACCTGATTCGAGTAGTTTGGACAAACATGAAAATACATCTCAAAGTTCTTTACCTTTACGAAAGGACACACTAGATGTAAAGTTTTTTACTATTATCATTGTTTTTGTGTTCAGATCTTCAAGAAATTGACTGAACGGGTGATAATGAAAGCATTTTCCGGAAATCCGTAGATTGTTTTAACTTGTAAGAAGCAGTGGGTTAATAGTAGTGATAGTGTCACTAGGACACCCACAAATTGTGTGCTTCAAAACTGACTCCACTAATTTGTATTTGGTAAGTGGGTAATTCGTGAACGAAGTCTCCACCATAGATCGTTACTTGGCCAAATTTGCATTATTCGATTCTTGAATCAATTACATTTCAAATGGACTATTCTGATCATAAATAACCATATATTAGACTAGATTCTTATCAGAGAAATACTGTGCAAAAGTGAGAAATCTGTGATTCAATAGTTTTTCGAGTTGTGGCTTTCAATGATTAATCTGTAGGTCTAATGACTGTTTTATTCACCTTACAAAATATCAAAAATTCTTCCCTTTATGTTAAGATGAACTTATAGATTTTTCGATGCAGAAAATTTGCTAAATTTATCCACAACATTCTCATTGTTCAATAAACAAGTATCCATCGCCTCCGACTATTTATCCTCTGTTTTATTGGATAAGTACTGCATGGAGTGAGAATTTGTTAGCGATTTAATTTAAAGCCTTACATTTCGTTATATTTGCTTTTTTGTCCAGGAAGTGAAGCTGCACTGCACTGACATTCTCATAGTAGACAGATGAGTGCAACTCAAGCTGTTCAGAATGTAATCTTTAACGAAAATACATCGATATTTAGCAATCACCCACTTAATAGATGGAAAAATGGCTAAAGTGCTAGACTCAGCAAAATTGTTGAACTTTAAAGACTTTGTATATAACTGTGTATACAGTGAATCCTGTCTTCGAATGGAAGCTCATAGTGAAATAAATAAGGTTTCAACTAGGTTATATATTTTTACAATTCGTTTATTAGCCTTAAAGATTTCTATGCTGTGGCGGATGACTTGATTTTATTTAACTTTGATATTTGAACTTTCTAAAGATGGAGCAGATTTCATCCGAATAACAGGAATTGTTAAAGTCTCTGATATCCAGAAATCTGGTGTACTCAAGAATAATAAACATAGCAAAAAGAGATAGATTAATAACGTGTCCACCGGATAATCATAGTAACCGCGGTCCTAATACATCATTTAGTTTATATCCTAATGTTTGAATATGGGAATTTTTTCTCTTACTTCGGAAATACTATCCCAGTATATTTTGCCTAAATTTGAAGTTGTTTCTCACTGCTGGATTTTTTTCATAAATGCATGATTTTGGTGGAGTCTTATATATTCTGGGCTGGATGATTTAATCTTGAAGCTTTGATCACCCTGATCGGCACTATCAGCACAAATTTCAGTTAGAAGTGTTTTACTCGAATTTCTCCATTTATGATTGACAGCTTGTCCTGTCGATCTTAACCTTGATTGGATATTTTTGAAATTTGTTCTGTCATTTTCTACTTGAAGTTTATGTCAATAACGTTGTTCAGAAGAACAATGAAAGCTTCATTATTAAATCAACCAGCGCAAAGAATGGGACTTCATTTTAAAGTTATTGAGTCTTATGTTTAAGTTAACTTTGGGCAGTAAGTTGGATTTCTCAAGTATTTCCTATTCTTCTGATGAATAATTTACCTGCTTTCTAGAATGAAAAATTAAAATCATCATCAAAAGTGACCAGAGATGAAAATAAAGAAATTGATCATCATCAGCATCAATCAACACTGGTGATGTCTACATCGTCCATGAAGGATCCTCCAAGTTACAAGTTTTCTCTTGACTCCACTGATAATTTGGTTGTTCAACATACTTACACAAAAGATATTTCCAAATTATCCTTTGTCAATAATGATAATGATAATACTGTGGAAATCACAGATAATTGTAATTTCATCAGCAATTCGACTAATAATAGTGATAATAATAAACTTCGCCTCTCCTCATCATTGACAAAAAGTAAAGCTCCCAGACCATTGACTGAACCATCGAATATATGTGCTGGAGAACTGGACAATGAAAGTCAACATCATCAATCATCAGTTATTGACCCTCAATCAAAACAAATCTCTACACCAGGGGATAACGCCTACACAGTGGTTCTAACTCCAGATGTATTAACATCATCTTCAGGCTTACGTTTTTTGCCGCATAGAATTACCACTAATGCCCATGTTCTTTGGTTTGGTAAGTTCTATGCATTCAGAATCTACTGTTTCGTCAGCATGACTTTCATGAATCAACTTTTCAGTGTCCGATAAAAAAATCACACCTTTCAATAGCATCACTAAAATTTAAAGTGACAATTTCTCAAATTTACTTATATTTTGGTAAATTATCTTCAGACTTAATCTCGTTGCATGACTTGGGAAGATGTGAGTATAGTTAGTCTTGATTGTTTGAATTATTTATGCCAATGATGGATATTTAGAGACAGCTTGGATTATGTTTGAACAATTTATAAGACGTCTATCAACAATTTTACGACTCCTTTTTTGAATAAAGTTCAAAATCTTGCTTTAGTCTTAGCTAATTAGAAATCAATACTCATAAACCAGTCTTTAATGAATACTGCAAAATCTTAAGTTTTATTATTTATTTATTTAAACACATAAATATTGGTACAAAGAGGCACCAGATATATATGCGCCGCACAAATCTCATTTGATTTGTGTAAGGGCAGTGATACTGTTCAGGTGCCCAAATTGAAGAAGGTGGTTTTCTTAGGGGACCACACCCGGAGCCTTTGACCTAAAGGTCTAATCCACAAGGCAGTGGAGCATCGTGAGGAGATGCAGTCCTATGGTAGCCGGTGACCAACGATTGATTCATACGCCATTTGTTTCCTCAGGATACTGGAGCCGATGTGCACCATTGGTTTGGAATCAGGGTTTTCCAACTCCCCTAGGTGGACTTTCCTTGTCCACCAACCCGGTTAAAATGCCGGACATTCGCTTTTCGTCCTCTCAATTTCGTAAACAACAGTAATGCCACGAGAAGGTAGTGAGTAGGACTTCCCTGGCAGAGGCTATATACGCGTGGCGATGTGAGAGCATTTCGAGAGAGAGAGCGGACTCTCGCCCGTACCAGGGCATTTGGGTGCAAAAAGTATTGAATAGCAATATTCTTTTATCCAATTAAGCACAATTCTTATCAACACAAGGAGCGTAAATAGACAAATTGTTTTCAAGGTAATACCAATTGCCGTGAGTCCACTAAATATTTGAAATATGATTTAAAGGGAACATACAAAATCGGAAAGTAGAACGTATAAGGCAAATTGAAAATTAAAGTGTTGTAAGATACAGAATAAATTCAACTACTCCATTGCGTTTATTTCCAAACTAAATCACCTAAAGTCTTTAATCATAGATTACTGATATCTTACTGACTTCAACCAGGAAGTCTGCACTTGTTTATTACGTTCAGGCAAATACTCATGAATTGCAAGATCTAATAGTGTGTTTTCATTTAACTATCCTCCTATTCAGTATAAGAACTACTGTATGTCAATCGGTTCTAAATTTAGGATTACAGTAATACGATATAATCATGGAAATGCATTTCAGTCGATTACAGTAAGCACTATCAACTGTTTATACTAGGATAACCTTTCTTCAAAATTAATAGCTCATCCCTTTAGCCCAAGTTAATAACCATATCAGCAAAATACGATTTAGTTTAGGAGAAAAAGAATCCCACCAACAGATGCGGTAAAACAATTGAATCGAAAGAGTCTCCCTTCTTTTTAGTCCAGAAAGGAGTCCCAGATTGGTGAACCAACTTTAATTTACTAATTTCTTCACAAAACAAAGAAACTCAAAACTAGTTTTTGCACTCTCATAGTATGTTAAGCTACTTATACAATAATTATTTGTTAGCATATCAATCATCAAAATAATCATCTGGGTTAACACATAGAGATAATTTCCCTTGTAATATCAAGACTCCCCTTCTCTTAGTTTTGACTAAGTTCCCTCACTGATGACACTTATCTAATTGTTTCCACTTAGGCTTATGCCAGTAAAATGTGACGAGTTTCTACATACATAAATCAAGTTAATTCGTGCTTCTTTTAAATATGGCCCTTCTCCACCTAGTCCCAGTTGATGATGCGAATTGTTGGTGAAGGAATCAAACGCAAAATCATGTCTTACATCAGTGTAATATTTACACAGTATATCGTTCGGTTTAAGGAAAAGACTATGTTTGTAAAAATCTCAGCGACTGTAAAGAAATCCTAATTTTCATTCGACAGTCTGGTGCTAGCTTTTTTAAAGGAATTCGATCAAACATCAAAATTACCGAATGTCCATAGTTCACATGTTAATTGTATAACAAACAGATTGTCCAATCATGTTAACAAGATTAATAGTCGGATTTGTTGTAATGCATATGAGTTATTTAGTGTGGAAAGTGAAGAAACTGATAAGAAAAGAAATGTATGCTGTGTACGTAGACTTGATGTGAGAAGAAATTTCATCGATCATATTGATGTGTGAGCGAGAATGACAATGATTGATTGTCTTGATGAGTCAGATATGTAGATGCGACAGGTCTTATATGTACATATGTATTCCCTTATCCTTATTATACATGAACTGTTATTGATTGACTGTTCCTTGTGTCGGATTTTGGTGTGGAAATAAATTGACGTTATAGTCAGGCTAATCTCGTGTTCTTGATCTGAGTTGTGTTGAAGTCCTGTAGAATAGACACTGGTTGGGGAATCTAGTGTAGATATTCGTCTAAGGTAAATTAACGTCTCACATACGTGTAACAAGTGAAAGGACTGTTATAACAAAAAACCCTAGAGTTATAAGCAGTATCCTACGTTTATGACACATATATTATGATCAATGCTTATGGTTGTTGATAAGAGTAGATACCTTGATAGATGTTGACATGGAGAGCCAATGAAAAGCAGCTAAAAGTTAGTTGATGACAATCAGAAGTGACCTAAACGTCAAGTGTATTTCATTGTGGTCAATAGGTAAATTTCCTAATTATATATGTATATATATGAAACTCCTCCTGCAACGCCTCTGGGGTTAGTGTTTTTCCCAAGCCCGGTTAAAGAAGGAGAATTGTGCACGAGACAAGCAAACCTCATCCCGTAGAAAACAACCTTACTAAAAGGACGCTAACCAGAATAAATGATTTAAACTCTATCCCGGGATTACAAGGACCTTTGAAAGGAATTATGAAGCCTTATGCTGAAAGCCGATATTCTTCGGAAGCCGAGGGGTTGATTCCCCTTCTAACAACCAAACCATCAATTAATATAGGTTAATGGAATGTTCACATAATGTGGGAAACCGAGAGAACCAATAAAATGGCAGGCAAAATGAGGAGATACAGCTTGGCGGTGCTCGGAATCAGTGGAACCCATTGGATTCATGCTGGACAGAAAATGTAAGGTTGAGGAAAAATGCTACTGTACTCTGGTCACCAAGAGGAAATTGCTTCGCACACTCAGGGAGTTGCTCTGATGCTGTCCAAAGAAGCACGTAAAACACTTACAGGATGAGAAAATCATGGACCCAGGATCATCAAGGCATCTTTCAAAACAGAGAAGGAGGGAATGAAATAAAATGGTTATAGGTGGCACAATATTCCCACACAAACGCATACACAAAGCTACATGGGTCTCACCTGGTCACACTACACAGAACCAGATCAATCAATATCTGTATCAATGAGAAATCCAGAAGGTCAATGAAAGACGTGAGAACCAGAAGAGAAGCTGACCTAGCTTCAGATCACTGGACAACTGGGGAAACAGCAGTACAAATGTTCAATACAGCCTTCCTTCGAGATGCTGACAAAATCAACGAATTCAAGATATCTCTCAACAACAGGTTCCAAGCCATACATGGTCCTCTTAATGAGGAAAAAGCTACTATGGAAGAAAATTGTTAAGGGATGAAAGAAGCACTAACCTTAACGTGTCAGAAGGCTCTGGGCCGTATGAAGGGTCATCATAACACAACATTACAATCACTGCTTTTGATCTTGTAGATGCAATTTCTTTACTTTTTAAGTATTGTGTCTTGATTTTTATTAGTTCAGAGCGAAGAGTATTGTTTTTTTCGGAAAAATACCTCATATTTCTACTGTTCAAGATGTCTTTGATTGCTTTCAAAGTCGCTTTGTGATTTGGGATCACTACTATGTTGAACTATTCTCTTGACTTTCCTTTCCTCTTATTTTTTTTATTCTTAATTATTCATCATAAATATAAGGAAATTATAATTGGGAATGAGTGACTCAGCATGATAAGATGAAATGTCGGAATTTGGAGGAAGTGCAATCAGGCGGATCATAGAAACAGGAAAATATTATTTGGGGATAAAAAGTCTATGGAGAATATAGAAGGGAAGCAGATAGCTATGAATGAAGAAAAGCCTAGAGAAGTATGAAAATTACGAGAGATTAAGATCATGGTAGAAGAAGAGGTTGTACTAGTTTATTTTGGACACAATTCTGGTTTTTGTAGATGCATAGGTATTGCTTCAGCAACGTTAAGAAAATGGAATATAACTGCCTTTGATAACCTTCTACTTAGCTTGTAGATGTATTTGAATGCAGAGTCCGCTCCGCTTTAGGGACATGTGTTTACAAAGTCTCTATAATAAGTATTCATCACCAAAGAAACATAACGAAATTCAGTTTGGTATTTTTATGTTGTCTTTTCAGTAAGAAAAAATTCCTTTGTATTAAGAGTTTCAATGATATCAAATAATTACTACAAAACTTATTATTCATATGAGTATATATCGTCTTTTCTGTTTAGATATTGATAAATCGATTGTTAATACACGACAGTCATTTTCAGCATCGATTGATTTGCCTGGTATTATTACTTATAAAAATAATGAACAATTATCATCTGATGATGACGTAATTCATGCAATTCATTGTCTTCGTGTTGATGGTCCTTTAGATTTTAGTAGAGACGATAGAATCGGCTCAGTTAATGTATTAAATAACTTGGGATTACTTATTGATCAAAATATTCCTGGTCTATTGGTAGATTTTTCTATTTTGCACAAGAATCAACACAACCGCGTGAGAGCTCAAAGTCCTAAGGTTACCGATTCAAGCAAGGAATTACGTCGTAAACGTGGTGGTATGTTAATCAGTTGCTTTTTTCATAAACATTTGTTTACCGTCATTTATCTTTGATCTTTAAATCTTATTGTTCATAATATGCTAGCAGATATACTGTATAACCGAATATTTACTTCACTAACTCTGTGGTTTCCTGCGCCGTGTGTTTATAGAGTAAGCAAAACGTTGTTGACGTGAAAATAATACTTAGTATGCACATATGCCAATTAAAGACTGACTAGTTGCAGTCCAAAAACATCAATGAGAAGATTCAAACAAACAATACTAAGTGAATTTAAACTTCATCCCATTGCGCAAGCAACTGCCTGTCAGGACTCAGTGGCCGAGTGGATAACGCCGTGGCGTTTGAAGCGAAAGGTAATGGTTTCGAGTCCCAGAGTGAACATCAACTCTCAGATGCAGGTAAATTCAGCTGACGAGTCCCAAATAGGACGAAACGCGCGTCAAGCTGGATTCCACTGCTAGCCACTATCCATCTTTGCCTCTTTAGTAATATTAGTTTTAGCTGAACCAATAAATTTTCAGTAATATTCACGGTCTTATTGAGCCTGATTGTAATTAGCTGTTTTGTCTGTCATGAATTGGGATCTTACGATATTAAAAGATATTCATCACAAATCAGTTTTGAGCGTTGCCTATTGCGCATCTGGCCTCTCTTATCACCTTGTCTGTGGGGAATTGAAACAGTTGTTGACTCGGTTAATAAGGTTCACACTATGGGATTGAATTTGTACTTTTACAACTTCGAACTTCCTAACTTTTTTCTGTGGTATTTTATGCATCCTATCTAGAGATATACGATACTATGATTAGCACAGTGAATTTGTTTCCTTTTTAACTACTAAATTTAGTCAATTCTAAAATATACCTGACCTTTAAAAAGTGATGATGCATCCAAGTTGATCCCCCTCAGTTTTTAACCTAATTTGGAGTATACAGAATGTAATTTACCAATTAAGACTAATGCTAATAACTCATACAAGGTTATCATGATAAAAAACTAATATGTTAATATTCAAAATGAGTAACTTTTTGGAGAAACTATTAAGTGATCAATCCTATATGAGTAAGCAGTGTTTTAGGTGGAGTTGGATGGTTTGGTCTTGAAGCTTTCATTGTTCTTCATCCAGCTCAGTCAGTCAGCTGCTACCTTGACGTGGTGGTCAGGCTTGCCTGTCGTGATGACCCATACGAGCTATATTGACCGGAACGTATGTTCCTGTAGGTTCTACCATGCCAGGCAGGTCGGTCTGAGGGCGAAGTCTTAGTGCTGACTGTAGAGGGGTGTGACAGCAGTAAGATGTTTCCCTCGGACAACCAGCATCTGCAGCGATGCTGCCTTCTCACAAGGAAGGAAGGGGTTAGATGTCACGCCTCGCCTTACCTCACGGATTTCCGTCTCCGGCGGTAAGGCCCTTTGAAGAACAGAGCTATCACGTCAAAAAAAACCCACAAAAAGGCCGTGCATGACCGGCCTCAAGCAGTTATCCCTTGGACTCTATGGTCACACGCCCAAGTCGTTAAGACCAACAATAATTCAACTTCCTTTTCCTTCCCTCTCTTCCACGGTGTGGGAAGCCGGTAAGTGATATTAACCCTCATACCCATAACAGCACACGAGACCAAGTTGGTCACATTCAAATCCTTCCTACACCTTCATCGAGCTCATGAAACAAAATTCCACCTAAATCATTCACTTGAGTTACAAGTCTCCACCATCTCGTAAACAATGTTTAAAAACGAAATTATTGTAAAGAGACGAAAGAGGTTGATAAAATCAGTAAACAGTTGGTGGGATTATTTATTGAATTTTCTTTAATCACATAAGGGGTGAAGATACTATACGTCTCTTGAATACAAAAATTAGGACTGTTTTCTCATATCCCCATATTTAAAAAATATTTGTGGAATACAGGTGATGACCCACCTAGAAATATGGGACAAAATATCATAAATAACCCTAAATGCAGCATGACCACTGTTGATCGAATGCACTAAAATAAGGCAACGTAATGACTGTATGTTTACTCGTTTTGAAGCACTATAAGAGATGCTTACTGACTCACTAAGGGTGAATTAGAAAAAAGAAGTGCTACCGCACTTGACTGTTGTAATCTACAACACAGTTAGTTAGCTACAACGTAGGACCAAGAACGTATATGCAACGGTCCAAGTTGCCATACCTCATTAGCACTACAACATGAACACCGAATTCATACTAGTTAATTTAATGGTGGTAATATATAAAAGAAAGATTGCATATAAGGTTATCTACAACAGAACATCAAATTAATTAGCTTATTATGGATAAAATTAAGCTTCCGTCTCTTATTTTCAATAACTTACGAATGAAAATGGATATATACATATATTCCCTCTAGGAACTGTACAATCTTTATGTAATAGTAAATTATTCTTCACTTCATACTTTTAATGTACGAATTTGCTTATCTTCGCCTAAATTGCCCATTTCTTTCATTCCTCTATTCATTGGTGGCAAGTGCATATGTGACTAGTCCTTCCCTCTGAGAAAAATATTTAAAGGATATTGTTGTGATGAGCGGTGTCAGAAATCTGGTACTGATACATAGTATATTACGCACTAATCCCCGAACTGATTACTTGAGCGAGAAGGTGTTTTGGATGACCGAATAAAGTGCACAAATACTCATATATATGTGTGCCTTTCTGATCCTTAGGAAATTCATCTATTCGTTTGCCAATGAAATACACTTGACTTTTAGGTCACTTCTGAATGCCATTGATTGATCTTCTCATCATGCTACTTCTGATTAGCTTTCTATTTCTAGTGTGCTTTTTTCGAATTCATATGCTACGTCCGCGAGATAATAATAGTAATAATCTACTTGTATACTAATTTTGTCAAACCGCTAGTTTTATATTTTTCATGTATATGCGAAGAAATAACTACCAATCTACTTCATACGTGTGTATAGGACACAGTCTGTAGAAATATGATGTAAAAAAATGTTACCGCTTCAAACCATTTGGTGCGTTAAGTACTTGCCTTCCCTTCTCTTACCTTCTTTTTCCTTAAAAAATTAATTTATAATGTAGCCGCTACTTGGCTCCGAGTCACAATGTGTTTTTGTGTGGTCTAGTAATACTACTTAGCTCCTCAAACTGACATTAGCAGATAAAGTTCCGAACATGTGACTCATTTATGATTACCGGTTTAACCACTAACTCTATATGAATCTACTAAGGTGTCCATTGTGTTAAACTTCAATGATCCATAGTAGCCATTTCCTTTACAACAGATGTTCATTACTGTGAGTTGCACGTATCAGATAGGTTTCCTCATTCTGAGTCTGAAATGAGATGAAATGTTCTTTTTGAACCACATCGTTAATCATCATCAAGCAAACAAGATAGGTTTCGTTTACTCACTGACTAAAAGTACCTTGTTACACTAGTGATATATATATATATATATATATATATATATATATATATATATATATATATATATAGCCCAATATTACTACTGAATGTGAATGTTCTTTCGCTAACTTTATATTTTCTGGAGTAGCTGTCCTCACAAATCGTTTTCCCACGTATTTTCTGTATGCTGGCATATAGAAGTTATATATATATATATTTGTAATGTGATGTTAAATCCTAATTTAGATCGTCAGAAAAGTGCTATCACTGCGGAAGATGTATTACGTTCAGCTGGGAAAATCCGTAAATTATAATGTTAACGTATTTGTTGTTTGTTGATAGCTGCTTTTTATTTCTTAGTTCGCATTTGAATGTGGCTTTTAACTATGAATATTCTCGTACGCACTAGCTTGTATGTGCATGCACTTGCAAAGTTCAATTCTTTCGATTATATTCAAGTTACAGTTGTAATGAATTTGTCATAATTAAAATAACCTAAGATCATCAACTTTTTTAAATTCAAACGAAATAATATTTTCTCATTTATCGAGTTAAATTAAATGGGTTTATTTCGTCGATGTTTGGCTGAGTTTTTGTTAGTGGATTCAGGTTGCTCAGACGTGATTACTACTACTTTATGTTTAAAGGCATTGTTAGCAATTTGCGTTTGTTAGGTCCCTTGAGATATATTTGACTAATCATATTCAGATCATAAGAATGTCTACTCCTTCTTTAAATTACGATGAAGTATATCAGAACTCAATTGAGCTGTTCGTTTTTTCATATTTTCAATATTTTAATAAGTGCTATCTGACTACGGTTTAGTTTGACCATAAAGCTCTTGACAAGAGTCATTTATAGTATATAGAACAACTTAATCATCAATTGATTTAGTATAACTGTCATTTAGTCGGTTGATTTTCTTCCTATCGTGTCAAGTATATCTTTGTGGATCATTTCACTTTTGTACAATCTAGTACATCGAACTTTCTGTCTGCTTATGTCTGTATTGTTATGGCAACAATCTCAAAGACCTTGAGATAGGTGTCTTTGATGACTTTTTTTCGTACTTAACTCACACAGATTACTTTTATGATATTCTTCCTTTTTCTCTTTAGGATTGAATTATATCCTCAATTTAATTGCTAATTATAAACTGACAAATATGTTGCTAAATTTCTTGTTGACGATAAAATATGTTGAGAGATCGATCATAAATAAATGTATTGGTTACACAGTGTGATTATCACAGCGCTTCTCATTATATATACTTTTTTTATAAATCCGATTATATTTTCCTTCATCTTCAATCCCTCTAATCAAACGCCTAACTTTGTCTACTTACTAGCTGATTTGCCTGTTAACTTAATTGCTCAACATATGTTTGTATACTTGAAAAAAATGCAATCAGGTTTATTTGTTCGTGGTAAATATGTTGTTTGTACTTATTTGTTCATTTCGTCGTCTCGTACATATCTCATTTTTCAATTTGATCTAAACGTGAATCGTACTGAGCTAATCAATTTATATTTGATAATCAATGAATAAATTAATTTAGTTTATGACTCCTTTAGTTCGTCGTCCTGTTTTTCACTTTTCTTTCAATGATTAGATGAAAATGAACTTCGGACAGTGGATGATACGAAAATCCTACAAGTTATTGAAGCATATTGCGCTAGTTCATGGGCGCATCCCAGTTATCGAACATGTAAGCTAATGTTTATTCTTAATGGGTTGTTGTTTACGTTCAACAGACTTGTAATCGATGAATTTAATAATTCAACTTTCAAAATACTTTCTTCAATAACTATATCACAAGTCCAGTTTACCATTCGCATATTATGCTAAAACTGTCAAATGGTATCTTCAATTTCCACATGATTGATATTTCTAAGAACTTTAGATATTAAGTTGTACACGGCTAATTAGTTGAATTAGGTTATGTTTTCATACGTACTCAAGGAGTAAATTTTTTGTAGTGGTCCTTGAAAGCAGTAAGCACTTGTTCTGCTTGTCGTTTAATAATGAAAGGATGATTGAAAATTCTTTTTTTTATTAACTTAACCATATTTAGATATTACTCAAAACTAAATTTTTATGTTATTTGGTCAACTAAATTTACACCTTAACTATATGTCAATACTAATTAGGTATTGAGAAGCCTTAGAGTTAGCACCTAACGTAGCTTGATGGTAATTTGAGAAAGTTTACAGTTGCAGACTATATAGATTGATACCATACTTTCGTTGTCCTATACTTTTTTTTAACATAATCTTACTTTAGCTAACGTTAATCGAGAAATATCGACCACGAAACGTAAATTCCGATCACCAAAAGATTTGATTCCCCTTCTGGTATCTAATGATGAATACAGTGTTAAATGTCGATCTATCAGAGGAAGGATAAATACTGAAGTAAACTTTCCTTACAAACTTTCCTTGTAGTTATAAACATCCAATTTTATATGTCTAAAAATTTTGAAATGTAAATGGAGAATATTTTGCTAGTTTCTCGCAAATAACTCTTATCGATCATCTGATTTGTTTATAAATAATAATTTAGATCTCTCAAAATATTACTTAGTTCTGGGGTTAACATTTTAAATACTTCGTCTAATCTTTCTAGTTCTCTTCAATAATCCACTGTAATTTAAGCTATACTAATCTTGGCACTTTCTGATCCGTCTTTTTTCTATGCTTAAAATTAGTGGACTCCGTAAAAAATGATTGTCAAATAGGTGGTCAAGGTATTCTATCACCAGTTGAAAGCCGAACATTATTACAACATTTCCGATATCCTAAAAAGCCGTCTACATCATTTCTATCCACATCATTGGGTATGTATTCGAAACAAGAACAAAACTCACATATAACAGATGCTTCCATATTTGAGTTATCTCGACAAAGCCTACCTCTTTCTATGTTTAGTTCAAAAGCATCATTGAAACGATCTGAATCAAAGAACAAATCACAAACATGCTTATCACAAGAAAGTACAGTTTGCTTAAATCAGAATGTAGCAGCTAATGTGACCACTTCAAACAGTAGGATTATCCCCAATGTTACAACTAGTACTAGTTGTACCAACTGTACTCCATGCAATCCTAATCAATCATTGAGTTATACGCTTAACATGCAATGTGAATCAATTTTAAAAACATTTTCGCCACCTCCAGTAATTCTACCAACACACAGTGGTCGGCGTTAACTTGACGAAATATCCATTTTTATTATTTAGTGATCTGTATTTCTTTACTTCGATTTCGTCTCCATAATTATGGCTTATTTTTATCTCACTATTTTTAACTAATCATTTAGTACTTGTTGTTTTGTTATCTAATTTGTCGTTTATCATTTGTCCCGCTGTTTTTTTCTCATTCATACCTAGGTGATAATATTCTCAATATCCTTATAATCTTCATCATTGTTTTTACTAATGACAAGTATTTTTCTTTTCATCCAAGTTATTTAAATTGTTTTATTGTGTATTCACCACTCGATTTAGCTGATGATAGTATTGTTACTACTACTACTACTACTAATATTATTATTATTATCACTATTATCTTTATTATTACCTATACTGGTGACATAATTCTATTAATAAAGATTAAAAACAGTTTCCGGTTTGTTTTTTAATGAAAGTTAAATTTTTAAAAACAGTGACAACTCATCTAAAATTCCTTGCACAGTACTCAAAGACAAGGAATATTTAAAAGAAAAATTGTTTTTGATATCTTCATGAGATTCTACGGTTACAGATCCATATTAATTATATTTCAATGGACAATATGAAGCATAGATATTTAGATCGTGGTTGAAATATACAAAATTTCATACATTAAAAAAATAGTGAACTATTATATTGATTGCCATCTAAATGAATGAAACATATGTCACCTGTCAAGTCCCACGTTCCTGTAAGAAAAGATAGGAAATTTTCTGTAAGGTGGTGAGTTATAATTAATTAGAGCAGATGGACGTACTAACTTAGTAATAAGGATTCTTAAAGAGAATTTCGTTCGGCAGACCTGTCTCAGACATGACCTATAGTCTATGCTATAAAAGAGAACTATTTTTAAAAAATAGACTAACCACTCATCATTTCATTCAAATTGGAAAAATGATTCAATAACATCTGAAACTCGTCTGATTTCTCGAACGTGAGTCGTGATATGGTAAGCGCTTGTGTATATCCTGATAAAACTAAGTTTCTATGGACTTTTAAGCTCATGTGCATGTTCAGAAGTCGAATCCACCGATTGTCCTTTTAGGTACACCATTGATATTGGATTTACTAGCCTCCACGAAATTTACAAAAATAATTAATATTTGAGTCCACTGTTACGTTCAATACTTCATTAACACAGAATACCATATACATCTAACGGCACTCGAACGTACAGAACCCCCACGGTCGCAAATAAGAAGAAGGAAAAGTGATTGTTGGGTACGAATAAAAAATGTGCAAAGAACATGTGTGTTTGTAGTTAATAGCGTTAGCTATAACGGACGAAACGTCCCTCCAGTGCTTCTGAGATCTCAATGATGGTCAAGCTTGTATCGACTCATGAATTAAACTGTTGAAAGGTTACTACAATCTCCACGAATTCCCATCCTGATAATTCCATGATTAACTAGCTTGTCACATGGTCTGAATATCCTAGCTAAATATTTCGCTAGATAATACGTCGATGGGTTTTTAAAACTAACAACTGGTCTTAGTGATTTATTATTTATGTGAATCTTTGATAGTCCATAGAGTCTACAATGATCGCAACTTTGTGAATATAGTGTGAACTGTAATGGAGGTCATAGTTTTATTTTAGTCGACTGTAGGTTTTTGCTCGTCTCAGGTTTAATTTTAACAAATATAGTCAGTCATTTCGTTCTAATTAATTTATAAGAGCCACCTTTAATATGCTCGAATAAGCTGTTACAAGAAGGACTGAAAATAATCAATAACTGTTTTATTGAATACCATTAATTTGACTGTTTTGGATGTATTTGTTTTATTTAAACTTTGGACTTGTTTGTTTATATTTTTGGTACTGGATATTTCTGGTTTCACACTACTTTTTGGTTTGGCAATTTAGAAAGTTTGCCCCGGAAATTTAAAAATTAAAGAGCAATATGTTTGGGTTGATTACTTGTAGTTTACTAGTAAAATTTTTGTCCCTTGTTATGTGGGTCACTAGAGCACAATTTAGATGTAACGTAAAACCTTAAATTTGGTTTGGGGGTTGTTAACACTCTAGACATTGGACGGAGGTTTTATTTTAGTGAATCACTCCTGAATTTATATGCATTTGGTATGATATAGCTTTTCGTACGGAACGGAGATATACTTTGGAAACAAATAGTAAAAATTCAGAGGAGAATATAGAATTGGAAGGTGAGCTCTCGTAAGCTGTTTATAAACTTTTCGATTTTAATAAAGATAAATTTGATGATCTTGTGTTCATAATATGGGTTCTGCTCCTCATAGCTGTCCTAGTGTCATGTCAGTTAAGGCATTGGAAATGAGGCTGGGATTAGAAAGCGAGCATGGATGTTATAGATCCAAGACAAGGTTGAGGTTGTTCAGTGTGAGTGTAATGTTAAGACGATAGGATGAGAAGTAGGGAGACGTTGTCTACGATATTTATGCACAAGATACGATCACATGTAACTCGGGATTATGGTGTGGATTTGAAAACTTATAACAAATAGAAGTATTCGAATTAATGTGCCAACTAAAAATTCCTGAAATAGTACTACTTAAGGCGGGTAGAACTAGATGTGCACAAACGAACGCATTATATCTGGAATTCGTAACCAGTGGGTAATCATGTACAAAGGGATTTTTGGTTCGTACAAATACCACAACTGCCATAGCTTATATCGGAATCTGAATTTCTGTAACCCATTGTACTTCTCCCTAGGCCCATCATGTGTCTGTCCGACTGTGTATTGAATATAGACTCTGAGTGATCTGGGATATACTCATTAGTATTAGAATTAACAACCCGAATTGGTATGGACTCACCTGGATCCTCATAACTTATTCCGTTGTTGTAACCAGCTTGGACATGAACCATGGATTTATTAACCTGTCTTAACAGACCTTTCGTAAATTGTAGAGAAGGATTTTTTGTTAAAGTAATTTTATCACTTTCTGTTACGTACGGTCTGGTAATTCTGCTTTGAAAGACTTCATCTACTCCCCTCTCCGGCTCTTCGAATTTCACCGCAGTGATAAAATTGATTTTTGCTTTCAAGATTTCGACATTTCGTGCCAGTACATCAGAATGAGAGAGCTATGGAGTCGTGCGCAATTCTCCGCACTTCCATTCCGTAGTTAACAAGTTATCAAGCACTTCATTAGAACAGTCTTCGGTAGTCAATAAGGAAAGCTGTCTCTGAAACATTCTTAATTTTTTTAGAATCAAAATAGATGGTTCCCAATCAGTGATGAGGAATCTACAATTTAGGACTGAAGATTTATCGTTTCTAATTAGCGAATCACGACACCCAACAATAGAAGGTTAGTGACCGGTGACACTGGAACTAGAAACTTGAGTAGGATTAATTATAGCATCGGGATTTAATGACTTCAACTTTCCAACCAAAATTATCAGCTGGATACTGCCAACGTCAACAATAAAATGGTGGAAACTATTGCCATTTTCTATTTCCTTTCCTTGCCTTGTGTTATAACCTTTATTCAGTTCTTTTGTCATTAACACGAAAAAAACGTTTTATCAGAAACCTTCACGTAAGTTTGTGGTGGTGGTGTTGGTTCCTAACCGCATGACCCTTGTAGCTGAGAGTATAATCACTGAAACTTGCTTTCAACATATAACACTAAGAGAAAGTCAACAACAATGAGCACCGGAACAACGAACTGAAATGGTGAAACAGTGTTTGTAGCGAAAAGAAAACGCTGGAAATCCCTCCACAGCATTTTGTTGGACAGTGCTGTCATTTATTTGTTCCTTCTCCCTGACGTGTATCTTAGTCTTTATCTCTATATCTTTTAAACACACTTTGTGTTCTTCAGCGTTCCTCATCTGAGCTTTTATTATCTGATTTTGATTAAAGACTTACTTTTTGTTACCTAACTTTTCCGTTGCATCATGCCGGACTATCGACAATAAGGTCGTGTTTGATTAAGACCAAGGTCACGACGTCGTTCAGTGTGTGACTGTTAACACTTGACTGTGTTTGGAAAGATTGCTAGAATCCCTGAGGACAGAAGTCCGGTCCTATCGATTACAGTCCTAAATAACGATAGGAAGATATAAGTAAACAACACCAAGTGAATTTAAACTTAACCCCATTGCACAAGCAGGACTCAGTAGCTAAGTGGATAATGCCATGGTGTTTGAAACGGACGGCATTGGGTTCGAGTCCCAGAGTGAACATCAACTCTGAGATGCAGGTAAATTCAGCTGACGAGTCCCAAATAGGACGATACGTGTATCCTGGATTCCATTGCTAGCCACTATCCATCTTTGCTTATAAAGTCTGTGACTTCAAGCAATATCAAGGCAGTCCACACAGAATGCATATATGTCAACAAGAGACTGATCAATTGCAGCCCAAAATAACAATAGAAAAATATAAGTAAACAACAAGCGAATTTATTGTTTTTTGTTGTTAAGCACGTTGATTTGTGCTAGAGAAACCCTTGACTGTATAGCACCGTTTGAGGTATTTTGTACTTTTGATATAATTTTACTCTCATAGATTAGAACTGTTTAAATTGAGCACGGAGTTTGTGTTTTGATATAATTTGATACGAGTCACTGAAAAACGCTTCATGCACCATACAGAAGAACGCAGACTGGTCCGCAAGCAACTTGTGGTGGATCAAAACGTATATGAACTCAAAAATGATAATAAAGTTATTACATCCGAAAGTTAACGTTATATTATATCAATTATATTTTATGAGCACAATGAGAAGTTATTGGACGTTACTCAAGTCGGCAGGCTTTGGCGTGTTCGAGCTGCATTTGGTACCATAATCTACTATTACGGGTAATTAATGATTTCAATAAGGTTGTTGTTAGGACAATCCTGAAAATCTCTAGCAATAAACATGACAAGCTCAGGAAACATTATGAAGCATTTTATCCATTCAGCGTTTGACTAGACGTTTTGCTAGAAACATCACGAAAATGAAAAGTCATATGTGGAGTTTCTGATTGGCTGATTACTACA